AAACTGAACAATTTATTAATTGGCACTTTATCGTAACGTAAGCCTTCTCTAAATCAATAAACATTAGATGTGTGCTTAAATTTCTTTCTGACCTTCTCTCGATTGACTGCTGTAATATACTGATATTATCTAGGCAGGATCTCCCAGCTCTAAAACCTGATTGCTTCTCAATTTCCATGAAATCCTGCTCAATTATTGTTTTTAGTATTCGGCCATACAGTCTCCCTATAGAACTGGTTACTGTTATGCCTCTATAGTTCGAACATACCTTCTTACTACCTTTTTGTGTATAGAACTGATACATCCTATTTTCAAATCATTTGGAATGTCGTCACCATCCAAAAGGCATTTGTTGAATACCTTCAGTAATTTCTCCAGCACTATATCCGGTGCATATTTCACCAACTCCATAGGAATACCTCGAGGTCCAGCAGCTTTCCCATTCTTCATACATTTGAAAGCCTTTTTCAGTTCTGTTGCACTGATTTCCTCAATTGTACCTCCAACACTTTCATCTTCCGCTATTCATTTCTCCTTAAATTGAGATCTTTCTTCTGACAGCAATTTTTGGAAGTAATGCTCCCGTTTACTAATTTTTATCAACGTGATATTGCTACTACACTTATTGTCCTTTCTGAGACCCTTTATGGTTTTCCACGCCTCGGATACTTTCGTGCCCCCCATATATCGATTGATCTGCTCGCACCTTTCCTCCCAGAAGTCGTTTTTTCTTCTTCTCACGTCCCTTTTAACTTCTCTATTCAACCTGACGTACTGCTTTCTATCTTCATAGTCTCCCGTCGCTAGCCACTTATGATATTTTTCTTTCTTATGTTTGACTTATCTTTCAACTCTTCTGTTCACGAATCTTTATTTATTCTATTGCTTCTTTCAGCTTCTCCTAGAGCCTCTCTTGCGGCTTCATATTTAATCGTGTTCTGCTGTCCCTTCTTCTAATTTCTGTATTTTATTAGCTAGTCTCCTTATATAAAAATTGGACCGATTCCTGGTTCAAACTCCGCAAATTGTATTTTGGAAGCTCTAAGTTTTGTTCTGTGTTATCTGTGCTTATGTCTTGCTTTTGTTTTCGAAAACGTCTGATGTTAATTAGCACTTTCGCCTTCACCATGAAATGATCAGAACCGCATTCAGGTCCTCTCTGCACTTTCACATTACTGATTTTTAACAGAGAATTCTGTCGTTGGATCACATAATCTATGATACTTGTTAGTTTTCGTTTTGGTTGACTCCATGTATATTTATGTATCATTTTGTGAGGAAAAAATCCATTCATAATCCTTAATGAGAATGTCTCACACATGTCAATTAATATTTGGCCACCATATATTCCAACAACTGCCCTATCCATAAAACATCTAGTACGAGCGTTCAAGTCACCAACGATGAAAATTTATTTCTTTGGATTGATGTTTGTCAGAACTTGTGTCAAAGTCTCATAAAACTGATCTTTAATCAAAACCTCTGCGTCATCTGTCGGAGCGTAAACTCCCACAATGACAATGTCATATCCATTTTACTTCAGTTCTAACGTCACTATCTATCATCTAATTCTTCCCAACTCGTTATCTTTATTGTGCACCGTTGTTGCAACTCCCCTTTTTGCTCTCTCGTTTTTGTTTACTCCACTATAAAACATTATACAATCCTCTACCTTTTCATTTCCTTTTCCCTTTTTCTTAGTTTCTGTTCGCCAATATCTATTTTCATTCTTTACATTTCATCAAAAACTTCTCGACACATCTACAGTGGTGAAATATCAAAAAAATTATACCTACTTGGTTTTTATATTCATATGCAAGTTAGAAATCATCTACCAATTAATTTAGAAAATTCTATTGAATCGAACAATGAGTACCGTAATTATGCTACTAGAGGAGGAAGTATCGATTTTTCATTTACGAAATTGCAGTAGCAATATTACAAACAAATCGGTATTTTTAAAAGCATTGTTAGAATTTAATAAATTTTAAGTAATGATATCCAAATGTATGCCAGCTTGAAGATGTTCGAAGGGAAATTGAAAAAATATTTCATGGAAAACCAGAATTCATAGGAGTGAAAATTTTGTATAAAAATTATAGACACCCATGATTGTTTTGTTTTTAACGAGAAAACCATAACTTTTTACGTTGATTAGGACGTTTTTTTAGGAATATCGAAAGAAGACTACGTTAATCCACAAGTGACATACGGATGTCGTTTCTTTATTTACAATTTCTATGATGTTACATCATGGCAGTAGTGTTTCATATTAAAAATAACCGTTTTTTTTTACGTTGGACTTATATGTATATCCATCTTCATTTATTCTACGAAATTAGATATGAGTCAAGTAGCCTAATAGAGTGGTACAGCGGCGGAATCTTGACTGGGAACACTTTCTTAGGCCAGGCGCGCACATGCGATTTTCGGTAGCACGATGATCGCGGAAAAATGTATTTACAATTTTTTGGGCGCGTACTTGCGATGAATTGGTCGTAACTACATTTAGTACCATTATGGATTTTACTCAAACTGCTTATGTGGTTGCGTTGATATTACGAAATAAAGCCAAAACACGACGTAAAAAAGCATGTTGTGTTTTGCATAATTTCGTACGGAAAACGGATGGTATACGAGTTAAGGATGAGTTATACGAGTCTCCTATGCAAACCTGTGATCCGACTGGAACACGGGCTAAGGGCTCCAACACACGAAGCTGCTGATCCATCAACAACTAGCCACTTCTCACACCGTGAGGTAAGCAACTAGTTCGTCGTGTGTCCTAAGTAGACGGAGGGAACCGAGGATGATCGCTTTCAGCATACTTCCGGCATGTGGTCTTAAAATCCGAAATTATTTTGCAAATTACTTTACATCCTCAGAAGGCTCAAGACCGTGGTTATAAGATAAAATTTGAATTGTATTGTTTTATAACACCTGAGAATAATAAAGAAAATAAACAACATGAAAATACATTTCTTTTATTTTCCCGTTGAAGATAGTTCCATCCAATTCCTTACTGCATTCTACATTCATACAAACTTGGCCCCGCAGTTTTTCCTTCAAATTCCGGTCACTAAACTCTTTCAGTTGCTTGTTGTAAATAGCACGTCTTTTTATCACCTCGGTAATTATTCTTTCTGTGTCCAAGACAGTATCTCGACGGTCATTCCTGGTGAACAATTCCATGTGACTTATTTTGATTTGCGATAATCGCGTCGCTTCCTGAATAGAACCGGTTGCATCTTTTTAGCCGCGGCGATTATTTAGTCGCATATTCGCGCATTTGTATTAAAAAACTGTGTTTCATTTTTGCGACTAAACGGTCGTTCGACCGAAAACACAAAATCTGTTTTTCGTCAATTTCTCAAGCATTTGTTTTGATCATTCTTCTGTTTTTAGGTGAAAAACTAGCAAAAGAACTAAAGGCAGTAAAGTACGTGGAATGCTCTGCTTTAACACAAAAGGGTTTGAAAAATGTCTTTGATGAAGCTATATTGGCAGCTTTGGAGCCTCCAGAACCAGTGAAGCGCAAAAAATGTTTTATTTTGTAAATCACGTTCAACTCTACCTTTCCTCCTGTTATTTACGATTTTTCAACGTGGCATATTTATGGAAGTATTAACTGGAAAAGGCAAAATATCAAATGCAGTCACTTTAAGCGTTTTGCGTTTTTTTCGTATACTACTTGAGGAACGGTCCATTTACGATTTAAGATTTGGAATTAAGAGTCTTTCTGTTTTGATTGCTTGAGGTAATTGATATTCTTCCATGTTTTGATTTAACATTTCAATAAGTTGAAGTAAGAAATAATACTAGGTAATAAAATGATTTGATTCCATTTTTTTTTTTTGAGATATCAAATATTGCATTTCTTGTATTATCTGAACAAAGAATGTTTATATCATTATACAGTTTTAACATATGTTTTATTATTTCTTAATAATTAGGTGCATTTCGTATTTATTCTAGATAAAAAATACTGACATTTGTAGATAAGTGTAATCTCTTTGAAATGGATTTTAAGATTTTGTAATATATTTTTTATGCCGAATCGGTTTCCATTAATAATACTATTGAGTTTGCATTTTGACCAAAACATAAAGAATAGTTATATCCATAGAGCATGAATTCCAAAGGGCCAGACTTTCCATGTATTCTGGAAATCCGCTTTCAACCTGTAGGTACTGCTAGAAAATTTTACTACACAATGTGATCTTCAAAAACAGGAATCGTTTACCATTTTTACATTGACAATAAATCCACGGATTTCTTCATGAATAGAGTTCATGGCCAAATTTCAAAAGTGTAAACATGAATTTGAAGTCAAATTAATCCATGAAGTTTTTTGTCGATTTCTTCACGAAATTAGAACTTGTTCTAATTTTTGCCAAGTTGGATATCACATTCCATGCTGCCAACCTTGTTTTCCTTTCCATTATATTGAACTACTTTTGAATTCAATTATAGAACTTTGATAGAACTACAGTATTCAGCGCTTTCTGTTTATGAGATTCGCCTCAAGATCAAAACCACAGTAGACATAAAAGCTCAAAATGTTTCTAGCATGAATTTGTTGTGTGGTTGGCTGCGCTGAGTGCTGACAGATAATCCATGAATTTTTTCATTGATAAAAACAGTGCAAAACATAATAAACACGTTCACGACTACGTGGTAAACCGGTGTTACATCGCCTATCTTGCCAAAAATCGTCATTGGTCACCGGTGGTACACTTCCAATTGATTATTTCACGCGCTACCAATCCTTACGGCTTATAGTAAGGAATTGTATTTTCGGCATACGATTATAGATATAGTAAGTATAATTGTGAATTTTATATTACATTTAATTAGATAAGTATAAAATCCATGATTTTATTTCTAAAACACACTGTCACAACCATATGAAGTAAGTAAACTAAGTAATTAGTGAAAAATAACGCAAAAATATTTTTCCTAACAGTACAAGTAAGCACTTATATATTTAGGTAGGTAACATAACTTCACTTATGGATTTCATTAAAACATTGAAGACATAGTTTCGGTTGGTCTTGACAATCTTTACAAGATGTAGAGACAAGCTTGGCTTCATTTCTAGCCTCTTTGACACCCCTTGTGTTCTGAAGTTACCATTTCCCTCATAATGAAAAAAAGAATCATCAAAGCCGTCGTGTACCACCGGTGGTACATATTGAAAAAGGTATTCAAAACTCAAAATAAGGCTCACTTACACATTTTCTAGAAATTATATTACAGACAATGTACATTTGCACTAAAAAAAACGAAAAAAATTATCGGCTACAGTCGTGTTTTACTCCATGCATTGTCGTCGTGAACGTGTTAAGATGTCCGTAAAGAAATTCATCTGAATAAATTCGTGAACAAATTGTTGACGTAAAATGGGCATTAGTGTATGTAAAGATCATTTTCACGCAAAGCTCTTGTAAATAGATAGGTAGGGCAAAAGTAATGTGATCATATGAATGTGCATACCTTTTTCAAACGACATGTTTCATTGTAATTTGGCATCTGTATTGTACTTAAATAATTGACTAAAACCATTAATTGTTCCACCTAAAGATAGCGAACCATATGCTGTATTGTGGCGTCCAAAGAGGGATCTGAAAGATACTGGCATCATCCATGAGACATCAGTAGAACACAAAAATGAATTTATTATAAAAAAAGTTACTGTTTAATAGACGACGGTAGGATCTCCAATCGCTTTTTAGCGCCTCTCTAATTTTGATTAATTTATTATACCCGAAGATACCCAAGTAAAATAGTGCCAAAACGGGATTGAAGATCCTAGTGCCATCCATCAGGCACTAGCAGAACCAAACACTACTGTTTTTCAACGTCGATTCCTAAATATATGGCACTGGTATGTCGGATCCCCTTCTAGATGCTAGAATACAGTATATGGATGACTATATCTTTAGGCAGAATAGATTAACCAATGCCAATACTAAGCAGTGGAGCGATACTCGTGGTGGTGCCGCAGAAAGTGTGTCGGTATCATCTGCAAAACTGCCGTCGCTGTCCGATCATTCTCGAAACAGCTTGAAAGCTCTTTTGAGACTCTGCACTTCATGACAAGGATTCTGAAATAGCTTATTGATTCAAATAAAGACGTATTAAATGCTAGCCTTCTGCACCGCGGTTTTACCAGCGGAACATGTAGGTTACACGACTAATAAAGTAACCAAATATCACAGGCATGCAAGTTGGCTGTCACTTTACTAATGCCATCAAATATGCAATACGCGATCGCATAAAATGTTTATGTTACTAACAGTTTAAGGCGTACGAAGCGGCGCGGGTAACACCTGGTGCAATGTCTTATGACAGTATTGCTTGACAATCAGGTTGAATGGGGCGATGGTAGGCAGCGGTGTTGCCGGCTTGACGCTAACGAAGATTTTGGCAATTGCTGCGACACTTGAATATTGTCAAAGGTCATTGGAAAATCGAAGATGAGTTCGCCTATATATTTTTGGTCATATTCAGGCGCTAGTATGGATTCATTACGTAATTAACATTACCTAGAGCATAAAGGTGTATTTCTGCTGGTATTTCAGATTTGTCTAAATTTCTGAGCTCATAAGACTTTAAAATATAAACTGATGGAAGAATGTAGTAATACTATTTATTATAAAAAATATACATTTACAAAATTGAGGTTTTCAGCTCAATTAACTAGAAAGTTTTTGCGTTCCAAGGGAGTCTCGGTAGCTCGGTGGTCAGCGCGTCAAGCTAGCAACCCGGGTGTCGCGGGTACGGATCTCTGCATCGGAAGTGAATTCCTTGCCTTAGATGTTGTGTTTTCTATATCACACACACTGTGCAATATTAGCACACACACACACACATCTTATGCCTGGAGCTGTTTTATTGTATTAGCTACTAGGAGATAGCTGATGGCTCGTGCAGTAGTAGTACAGTGTTGGTCCTACGAGGTCGGCAAAAAAGGTCAAAGGTAGCTTAGTTGCCAGGCTTCACTCTACCAACTTGTGCGTGCCTACATTAAATAGAATTATATAATTGATTTAAGGTCTCACTTAATAGAATTACAATTAGGACAAAATGTGAGAGCTTTAAACAATCGAGAAAAAAACAAACCGTTTAAAGAGTACTCGAGTATTCAAGGTTTTATTTTATATTTAATTTTTAGAGACGAAATTGTTCTGAACTGTAAAGGCAGTGGTAATGCTTTATTTTGTGTGGTTTCTATATAACTGGAAATGGTATCTAATCTTTACAACTGTATTTTTTAAAATGAAAGTTTTGCTAGATGCTGCTGAGCATTTTGCTATATACTATTGAACGTGCTAAAATAAATTACCCGCAAAGTATGGTTATCGAAGCATCTGCTAAACTGCCTAAGGACATATAATTGTGTAGACAGTCTAGGATATAAATAATCAATGTGCGATGTCCATCAGTTTAGTCTTGTACTGAGTACCATTCCTAGAATGTTTACTGGTTCAGACTGCTCAATCCATCATAACTTGCTGGCTAAAAAATAATTGATAAATAAAACCATTGTAGGTATACTTGTGATATTTTTTATTTAAACAAAAAATAGTCTGCTCTGGTCTGATTGTGACGAAAAAACATTAGATTCAAAAATAGTTTAGAAAAACTTTGCAACTTAAATCTAACATTTCTACAAAAATACTGGTTCTTGAGTTAAAAATATGTACACCTTTCCCTTTCCCTTTTCCCCTATCACCTAACATAAACGGAATTTTCCAATAAATAGTTAAATTACGATCACAAAATTGCTATTATTCTTACACGCAGTCTATAGATGTTAGCTGAAATTTTCTCCCGCTTCACTTTCTTTAATAGCCTTCATAGCTTCATTGATCCTGTCATTTAGAATCTGCCTGATTTCCTTGATTGGCCTCAGTAGGATGATTGGTACATGATCATCCCTTCTCTGGAACAAAATGAAGAAATTGTGTTTTACTGTGATGATTTTGATCACCTGTAGGATAGTTTTAAAACTGTGGATAGTTGATTATATGTAATGCAAAGAGTGTGTATCTGTTTTTGGGCATCAAGCAAGTACATAAAATGGCCTGCAAGTTTTATAATGGAGAACTTACTATGTTAGAAATTCGTACTGCAATATAGCATGTTTATACCGATTTTGTCTTACTTATCAAGACAACAACGCTCAGTTTTCAAATTTCCTAATATATATCGCAAATCTGTCGGATCATCAAATCATTTGAGAATCATTAATGAACAATTTACAAAAATGGATGAAAACAAATCAAAAAAGCGTTGAAGACTTCGTTCGTTCAAAAAGTCATTCGATTTTTATTCATTTTGTGCAAAATAACTACTCTGATTGAGATGAGTGACAACTTTCTTTACTAAAAGCATATTCGAATGTTTTCTTCTTTATTGTTTCACGCAAACATATCTAAATCGCCTGGTCTATTAAGAATTCCTTTTGTCAATAAAGAAACAATCGCACACACCTCGTAGAAGTCACAATTGACAGTCTGAGAAGGCCGTCAAATCTGGGCCCATTTGAACTACTTGCGGAATATTCGCGCCTACTAGAACAAATTAGACCGCTGTGTTTTTGGGCATGTTCGTCGCCGCCGCTTCGATTTTGTTTATTTGTGGTGAATAGATCATGGATGTCCAAACCGAAGTTTCGTAAAATATAGTAGGTTTGTATTTGTACTTACTTGGAATAAGCATTCACCTTCAAAGTCTACAAATTTGTATTTTCTAGCCCTTAGGAGAATACCAACAACTTTGTCCGAAATTGCTGTGTAGATCTGGAAAAGGGAACATTCGTAAGATTCAATTTATCACGAGGTATGTATGTTTAAATAGATCTATTATTTGAAAGTGCATATTATCCAACCAAAATATATGCATCTCTCCTTCAATAACTATATTCCTCTGCCCTGATTAACAAAAAGTAATTCACAAGATAGTGTGGATACATTGGTCGATACTCACAGCAAACAATTCCCCAAAACTGATCACCATCCTAGGATCATCAGGTTTTTCTTTTTCAGAAAATAATCTTTCTCCACATTGATTTATGACATCACACAACTCCATCATTTCCCTGCTGACATGTATTGTTGCTTTGAAGGCTCTCAGCTCTGATAGTGATCCTTTTGGAGGTCTAAAAACAGAGTATTTAAATCAGTATTATTCAGTAACATGAGGCTTTGGTCATACTTGAGAGAAAATTGTGAAAAAATATAAAGAATTTAGCTTTCGAACAATTCAATAAAGTCTAATTTCCTTTTAGCATATTGGAAGATGAGGAATATTATAATTATTAATAATATAATAGTAATTTAATGAACGTGTGATTAAAAAAAATCCCAAAATAATCACCTCTCTGCATTCCCAACTAAGTCTCAAGGTATTAGTTGTACGGAGTTGCAAGGAGTACTGACACTTCATATATCTTGAAAGAGCTTTTGTGGAGATCACAAAACAATTTAATAGACAATTGAAAAACTGATTAACACACCCCCACAGCTGCATACCCTATAATTTCCTAGCAAGCAGCATTCCATAGGCAAATATAACGGAACTGATATACCTGAATATGTATCATAAAAATATGATACTCACTTTCCATAGTCTTCTCTAGATATATTTGGTTTTGCAAGAGATCCAGCTTTTTGGCCATTGGAGAAGGGGTTGACTGCCTGACCCTGTACATGCTTATCTGCTACTTTGTTGAATAACGCCACTTTAGACTTCAGTGGAGAGTCCTGGAGTAGAAAAATATACTTTATTTTTTTGAGATTTCCAGAGTATCTTTATAATAATAAAATATCATTTAAGTTATTATATATTGAATATTCAGTATTAATTGTGTGTTAAAATATACTCGAGTCCATTTCATTTGCCACACATGAGCAGGGGAAGTATTGTGATCGTGAAAAGAAGTTACTTGATGTTTCGCTATAATATGAAAATCCATGTGATTTATTTCTGTTGATCTCGCTACCTATTGGCTCTTTCCTGTTCTCGGAATCGGCTGCACCGATTTTGATGAGTATCCAGTTTTTTTATGTTCTATATAGTTTTCTGATCATTTTTATCCGTTTTTGGGTAATTAAAAATCAGATGTATGTGTGGTGTGGGAAGTACCAAGTCAATCTACTGGAAACCATTTTTTCTCTAGTTATTTATCAGTCGTCTGTAGTAAGCTGAACGAATGAACAAACACCTTGTTATAAGATTCAAAACTCATACACAATACCAACTCTGCAGTCTCCTTAGTATGGCATTAAAATTTCATCAGTAGTGATGGTAGTTTTTTATAACTTTGCGTCCGTGCCGAAAAAAAAACGTCTACATAGAAAATATCACGTTTTTAAAAAAATTATATCTTTCACTTATTTTTAATAGACGCAATTTCACATTTAATTACTAAATACCGCCTCGGTTGACATGAGCCTCGAATAAAACTGGACTCTAAAAATATATTTAGATCACGTCAACTGTTCGGACATTTTTGGCAATCGCGGACATTTAGCTTTGGCCTGTAGCCAAATATGTGCGAGATTTACTTAAAATAAGTAAACGCGATCTTGGCGTCATTTCTTAGCTGTTTATATTTTCTGCTTTCCGCACATGCCACCTTCGATAAGATGTTAATAACATGTTTTTCACTTTCTTTGACGTCTTTTGTTGATGATATGTATACTATTAGTAATCTTGAAAGTATTTGCCTGTTTAACTATGGCCACTGATTAATGGTGAATGAATGGTGGAGGATTTCGAAGCGGAACACAAGTGATTTAAATATACATTGTACAGTTTATTAATAATCCTACAAATTCAAAGATTCGTATTTGTCATGTAAGTCTGGATCTCATGTACCATGAAATATTCACCATATATGGTAACAGATGCGAATTCAGCAGGCTGTACGTACAAGTTTGGGCATTTTAATACGTCTAGATGCGGTACACCCTCAACCATATAAGAGTAAAATCTAAAAAATGCCTCATCTGCATTGGATTCTTGTTATTGACACTAGTGACAGTGATTGAAGTTAAAAAAAATCCAAATTCAAAAATAGGAAATCTGTTGGATATGATGAAGTATCTTGGTTAAATATTGTGCAGAAGAGTTCGCAGAACCTCTTTACTACCTAATTAACAACTCTTTTGAGTATGGTATTTTTCATATCCAGTGAAAACTTGCAATTGTTAAAACTGTCTACAAAAAGGGTGACAAAATCTTATTTGGCCCATTATTTTAGTACCGATATTTTCTAAACTTTTCGAGATTGGCATTTATAAGGTGAAACTTATGAATAGATCACAACATGACTATCTTAAAGGTAAATAAGTAAAAACAGCTGTTTATGGCCTCGTTGATAAGATTCTGATTGGCTGGGAGACAGGAAGTATTTGTATGGTCACTGGATAGCCTAGACCCGACAAACTAGATTGATCCCGTTCTTGGGTGGATCCAGTCATACCTTGTTAATAGAAGACGGAGGTCTTTGTTCAGAAGAATGGAAACAGCTTTTTTCTAGAGGAGAGTCAGCTTCTTATGGGCCACAGGGCAGTATCATCAATCCCCTTTTGTTTCTTTTTTATGTGAACAATCTGAGGCTGAGGAGATACTCAATGTCAGGCCATATCTTGTGAACTTTGCGGATGACAAATATTTTCAAAGTAGGAGCAACACTATCTAAGCTTCTAGAAATATCCTCCGAACGTTTAATGGCAGCCAAAGAATGGTTTACTAAAACAAATTGGCCCTCAATTCAGAAACATTTTATTTGTTTTCGCACAAAACCGAGTCAAAAAAATCCCAGATATGATCTCAACCAATAACTAAAACTAAAATATTTTGGGGAGACAGCATTGTATCTGTCAGGGCTTTCAGAGCACAAAAAAATACCTCTGCGAAATAAATAAACTTGCACAGGAAGGGCTGGCGAGCTGAATACTCTCACTGTGGCAGGTATTTATAATTTTGGGTGGCCCCTGTCTTTGTTTAGAAACAGAGAACAATTTAGGCACAGTAGCCTCAATTACCCTCGACACTGATTTACCGCAACGAAAAAAAACTACTTACTCGTGTATACATTTTTTGAATAAAATACTGCATCACATAATGGTAGAAAATTAATATTTCTAAGAATAGCATAAGGAATATCATCATAGAATTGGAACCTTATACTATGCAAACATTTTTAGGTCACAACTTTTAACATGTTTCACATTCAATGTCGTATCATTATTTTATTTCATTGAGATGAAAAGTGATCTGCTTCGTTTGTAAGTTTGTATTCTTCAATACCTATGCTCTGCCTATGTATATTTAGTACATATTTTAATTTTTTGTTATTACTATAAAGTGCTTGGTTACAGATTTTTGTGTACCGATGCCTAATTAGTCAATTGTTACAATGGATTACTTTTAATTGTTGTATACAATTTTATTAGTTAAAGAAAATTTGAATTTGCATGCAAATTTTTTCGGGTGATGATGGACTACAGATGAATAAATATGAAGAATTGTCCTGCAACACATCGCCACCCAGACACCACTATCGCAAGTCAATGATTTCCGATTTTTGTCATAAATCTACGTATTTTGTCTATGAAAATATTGATAAAACAGCAAAAAAACACTATAAGAAAAATATTGGAACGTTACCTTATTCGAACGCCCAGTTGTTTTTACTTAACTTGACCTGTTAGTGATAGATATTTTAGTTAATGTAAATCTTAAACTGTATTTTGAACCAGCGGAAGTTGTAATAAAAGGACGAGTTGGGATTAGTTTGATTATTATTCACAAGTGCTCTTCAAGTACCACAGCGTCGGGACGCTTGTCCATCGGGGACCACGTCGCACATATCGACTTTAGGAGATATTTAGGGTTACATCTATGGAAGCATCTATGATGAGTGAAATATGTCTAATATGTGCGTAGAATTACTGGGGTTGGAGGCGTATAAATATACCAACGTCAAAAAATTGAGATATACTCTCCTCCACTCCTCTAACCCCTACAATAATTTTTCCCAAAAAGGTTAAGGAACGTTTGAAATGTCAAAAAACAGAGATCTATCGTTTTTTGGCCCTTTTCTCCGTGGCCTCTGGACCTTTTTTCAAAAACAACAAAGCTTTTGTGTCCTTGGCATAGTAGCTACATTGTGTAAAAATTTCAACTAAATCCGAGCGATACTTATTCTCAAGTTATAAGATTAGCGGACAGACCGACAGGCAGACCGACGAAAATGAGCGACATGGTTTTTCCTGTACGGGCGAGAGAAGTAAAAATCACTTTGCTGAACGAGCCTAATATAAGGAAATATACTAAGTGACATATAAATCCGAACACCCAGTTTAAATGGTTTTATTTTAATAAAATTTTGTATAAGTACTAAATGAAGCATAATAAGTAAATGATAAAAATTTTAAAATGATTGCACTGCTTTAAAGCCCTTCAACCTTTAATAATGTGTGGATGCACCCTGATGTGCTACGCATTCTCCAACGCGCCTAGGCATGCTTCTGATGAGGTGGTCAATGTCAATGTCCTCTTGTGGTATCTCATTCCAGGCAACCACCAACTCCTCTCGAAGTGCTTCTAGAGTCTGAGGAGGACGTTGCAAATTGAGCAATCTCCTACCCATCATATCCCACACGTGCTCTATTGGGGATAAGTCGTGAGATCTTGGTGGCCATGGTAACAATGTGACATCATTATGTTGAAAGAAGTCTATTGTGACTCTTGCAACATGTGGTCGGGCATTATCTTGTTGGAAAGTTGGATCTGCCAGGGTGTCAAGATAGGGTAAAAGATGGGGTTCTAGAACTTCGTGGATATAACGCTGCGCGTTCATGTTACCTCTGATGAAGATTAAAGGTGACCTGGAACCATAAGCTATAGCACCCCAAACCATAACTCCAACAGTGTGATAAACATGTCTTTCAACAAAAAACTGTGGATTCCTCCTTTCACCACGTCGCCTTCTAACCCTGGCACGACCATCGTGCATGCCTAAACAAAATCGAGACTCGTCACTAAAGACAATACTGTTCCATTCCTGATTCCAGAGTGACCGTTGTCTGCACCACTCAAGGCGATTACGTCGGTGTTCTCGAGTTAAAGGGAGGACCCAGTGTGGCCGGTATGAAAACAAGCCAAAACTTCTCATTCGTCGGTAAACACTTCGCATGCCAATAGGTCTTCCGTGTTCTGCAAACCATTCATTTGCAGTGGACCTGGTAGTGGAGAAACGGTCCCTTAAGGCCAACAATGTTAGGCGGCGATCTTCACGGTCTGTTGTTCTACGGCGGCGTCCAGTGCCCCTTGCTCTTTGCGTACGGCCTTCTCGAAGCCATGCCTGACAACACCTAACCACAGTGTCTACACTTCTTTGCACTCTAACTGCAATTGCCCGAAAAGAAGGTCCAGCTTCCCGAAGTCCCACTATACGGCCCCTATCAAACTCACTAAGTTGACGAAATCGTACAGGTCTCCGTACTCTAGGCATCGTAACCGATCGTAAAGTATGTCAAGAACCAAAATCCGCCAACGTTGATTCTTTACTACGGCTGAAATATTCATTTTTAGAGCGTTGGTGAATTAAAAAAAAGCAGTATAAAAACCGGAATGTCCAACTGATAAGGCTGAAAATTTTTTCACTTGTTATTTACAGTAAGATAAATATATTCACCAACTTTTATTAAAATAAAACCATTTAAACTGGGTGTTCGGATTTATATGTCACTTAGTATATTTTACAAGCTCTGAAGTTGAACTTGGATTTGTAAAGTGCATCAATTTACAAAGCAATGATCATGGTGGTTATTTATGATGAGAGATTTCAACCAAAGTCATAAGGCATTGCCCCACATATTTGTGATTATATTTAGAAGCTGAGATATTTTGCAAGGTCGCGTACCGCTGCGACGCTCCTGAACAGTAATTCGGCTATTCCACAAGGAATTGAACATTTCCGTTCTGATTATAATGTTGGCAGGATTTCAAAAATCCTCGTGCTGGAAGGAACGCTGAAAGGACATTTCCTTCGTTGTTCGCTTCTCTCAAAATAGCAATTCCGGTGCAAGGATATTGGACTAATCGAACTTTTTCAAGTTTTATATAGATTTTGACAAATCTTCAGGAATTCAAATAGAGGCAAAGTATGGGAAATGTTTCAATGACCAATTTTCGTTGGTTTGCTTTTCTATCGCCGTCTGATCGGCAATTCCTGACTCCTCCATAACTGGGAAAGTACATGGCTTTTTTGGAACTTTTGACACCAGGTCAAAGATTTTGAGAAGTTTAGAGTTTTCAGGAATTGATCCAGAGAAACGAGAGTAATTATTAAAATGCTCATAATCTGATCTATTTGACTAAGCTGTTAAAGAAAAATGGCGTCAAGTAGGTTGACTCTGTACTTTCTTCTCAACGCTGTCACAAGTTCGTAAAGGATTATGTTAGGCACAAGTTGGGCCTACTGAGGAAAAAGTTAGCTACGAACAAGTTTTAAGGATAAATGTATGAGGACATCTATGATGAGTGAAATATGCATAATAGGTGCGTAGAATCACTGGAGTTGGAGGAGTATAAATATAATAACGTCAACAAATTGGAAGACACACACACCCCACCTCCCAGCAACCCTTAATCGCCAATGTTTAACACCTACAAAAATGATCAGGATCCTCCGGAACGTCAAAAATGAAGTTTTATTTTTTAATTCGTTTTGAGCTTTGTTTAGTAACCCTATGTGAACACTTCGCCTTTTTATACTGTGTATAAATAAAGCCGGATTATTATTATTATTATCATTTCATCAAACTCCGACCGGCACGTCCCAGGTTATAGCGGGGTCAAGGATTAGCGGACAGACAGACCGACGGAAATGAGTGACATGGTTTTTCGTGATGTACATGTCAAATAACATCCAAAAAACATATCTCGTTATCAAAATTTTTCGAGATTATAATAAAAATGGATTTATGTTGAAGTAGTCCAAGTTTCCAAATTTTATGTTTAGTTTTACCTATTTAATTACTGGAAATTTGAACTGTTAATTCAAGGAAATTTTCTACATTGCAAATTGTAGGAAATTTTGGACACCCGAAAAATTTGAATGTTTAAAAGTATAACTTGATTTTATTTTTCAGTATCTTTCTTGGCTTCATTATGCATTTTTTAACAACCTTTAGTTCTTTTGACACTCCTCTATTCGTTATTGTGTCAGAGCGGTCCGAAGGACCTTTGCTCTTGGTTAAGGTATCGTGAGTCAATAGGTCTGTCAGGTCTAGTTGCCCAGATACCAGACACAGTTAGGGAGAAAGAAGGGAAGAAGAAAGAAAGGAAGGAAGGCGGGAGGAGCAAAGAGGAGGAAGTGTGTCGGTTTGAGGGGCGCATTGGCCCTGCTAACTAGTATTCGGAAATTTTAAATTCATCCTAAAATTCATTTAGAGATTGGTTGTTGCAGAAAAAATGTAATTTTGCGAACTTGCTCGACACGCCACCTATGGATAGTTTCTCCGATCGTGGTACTGCCAACCCTTACGATGGAAGCAGGTAGTTACAGCCACCAGACCTCTGAATGACAGCGTTTGCATTTTTGAAGCGAAACAAGAAGCACCTAACATACCACCACATAAGCGTCCTATTGCTACTAAGTACCCACAGCGCTAGCAGCGTTAGTGATCTATTTTTTTACACTGAAGCCAGTCGCTAAGGCAGAAGCCTGAATGCCAGGGCGCCGCAGCTGCTATAAGATTAAAGATACTTTTTAATCTGATTTTTGAACTGCCCAAGGTTAGTATAACTGAGAGCGGTCGTATCGTACTGAGTGTACGAAGTTCGTCACGGTTAGGTTCAGAGATGGGTCTGTCTGGCAGGCACAACGCGCGTCGGCATCATTGAGATGGAGGAGAGCTCTGAGGAACAAAGACTGTTGGCGTAGCGGTAGAAGAGAGCTAGATCGCCGACGTCCTGCCGGTGCGAAAGTACCCTGAGATTGTCCGTTAGAGAATAGTCATCAGACACTCGGACAACCCTCCTCAGAACAGCATCGAGCATGGTCAATGTCAAGTCCTTGGTGATCTGGACTCCGGCCAGCCTAAATGAACGGTTCTTTGGTACCACTCGGCCATTCATCGAAACCGGACAGGAAGTCGCTGCTAGTCTTCTTTTCTCCAGCTCACCGCCAGAGATCGTCTTATCAGCCTGAATTCCTGCTCGTAGAGTGCTGTCATCAGCAATGTTGTGGATTGGATGGACCGTACAGGGAATGGGGTCGTTGATGTGTAAGAGAAACAATGTCGGAGCCAAGTCCGATCCCTGGGGAATATCCGTGTTGACGTTGTGGGAAGCAAAAGTTGCATAAGATTCTAATGTTGCTACTGTTTAGTGAAACTATTAAAAACTACGACCCACATAATATCTGTCATAATAATAATAAATCCTTTCAAATATTAAGAATTTCACATATGGGAAATGATAATATATTACTATCGTCAATTTTATTTTACTAGGAATTGTTGGCTGGCGTACAGAATTCTATATTTGGCTCTAACTATAACTTGCTACATTTCTGACGTACTTTTATTGAAAGTGAGCCTTTCGGAGATGTTTTAGGCAGATTACAATGAAATATGTTATGTAGAGATTAAACTTATAATAATAATAAAATGTCTTTATTAGTATCACAACAAAAGGGAGAAGTTTAGCCAGTTGGCTAACTTACCTTTGACACTGAAAAAATAAAAATAGAAATGTATTGTAAAATACGTTTCCATGATGTACCTACTTCGGCTGTTTTTTAATAAGAAATATAAGCATTTCAAATTTATTATTTCGTTATTTTCTTTCCTTCTTGCATATCTGACTAATGTTTTCTTACCGGAAGTATTGAAATCGCGAACATATTCTTAAACGAAATATTCTGTATTTTGGATGTTAAATGACATGTAAACTAAGAACCATGTCCGTAATTTCCGTCGGTCTGTCTGTCTGTTTTTCGGTCTGTCCGCTAATCTTATAACAGCCTATAACTTGAAAAGTACCGCTTGTATTACGATGGAATTTTTACACAATGTTACTACTATGACAAGGACGTAAACGCTTTGTAGTTTTTGAAAATCTGTCCAATGGCGGCAGCTCAAATGCGAAAAAGAATAAAAATCAATCAAACTTCGTTTTTTGACTTTTCATTTTTGAAAAAGATTTTAGAGGTTACCCCAACTTGGGGGTGGGGGTTGTAGGGAGGGCTTGCCTCAATTTTTCATGTTAGTTCATTTATGCACTCCCAATCTTGGTAATTCTATGCACCTATTAGACATATTTCACACATCATAGATTTCTACGTACATTATTCTTAAAACAGGAAAATATTCTTAGCGAACGGATCGCGTACCTATTTCTGCCACGACACAGTATAGTGTTTCCTATGCTCTGAACGCGGTGCCTCGTCTGACCGGCTTCAGTATCAAAGAGAGGCGACGCGACGCGACGTCGACGTTTAAAGATGTACTACCGGTAGGGCAGAGAAAAAATATCTATGGACTAATTGTATGGACCTGTTTGACTGACTTTTTCCTCAGAGGGAAGTTTCTGCTGAACATAATCATTTATGAACTGATAACGGTGTTGCGTAGGAAGTGCAGTGAACTTACATGACGCCATTTTTGATAAGCTTCAAAATTTATTAATATTTCGTTATTTTCTTCCCTCAATTTTTGTGTCTTTACACTTTCCAGTATTGAATACCTGACTCGTTGTTTATAAGAGGAACTCAGGTTTGGATTTCGGATCACATGTTGCGAATTACTAAAACAAGTAAAATGACAAATGAGTCAACTAAATCGAATATGTAGCCAGCATTGATGAAACCCATATTTCAACGCACTTTTTGTTTGATTTTGGGATATATCTTAACTGCTCTCAAAGGATAAATACGAGTATAATGGACTTGAATTTGGTCATAATGGTTTGTGGTTTTATAACAGCATTTCTTATCGATTTTATTCAAATTTGTTGCATTTAAAAAAGTTTGACGTTCCATACCTTGTGAACGAAGTATTATATAATCTATTAGCATTAAAACTCACACCCTTTGAATTTTGTCCAGGCTATACTTATATTGTTCGATGGTATAGTTATACTGCCGAACTTAGGTAAAAGATAGTAAAGTTCATTTACTGCCTTTTTTAAATTTTGACGGCAATAGTTTTATGGTTACAGTTACAAAATATGTTATTGATCACGGTATTTGACAAAAATGTTTATTTTATTGCTTTGACAAATATTTCATATTAACAGTTAGTAGTATTAATTAGTTTTCAAACTATACTGCTTTTATTTTCTGTATGATACAAGTTACAATTATATTTGCGAATGAGCATTTATCGTTATAAATAATTACTTTAGCTCCGCAAAAATAATTTTGAATTATATTCTTCGTTTAACATAGATAAGAGACCATGCTGTATTTAGTTTATTTATATAATTATTTTTGTTGAACGCAATTATTTAATATAATTATATAATTATTATTAGATGTTGAAAAGATTTACTTTTGTGCAATTTGAGTGAATTTCAATATGAATAAATTATATTGAAATAAAATAAAATTCTGCCGTACTAAATTTTCCTTTGAAAGAATAATATAAATATATTGTGAAAACTACGAAACAATGCAGTAAATTTGTTTTTGCAGAGTATAAAAGCACTAAATTACTTGTTACTGGTTTTTGATTTTTACGACAATTAAAGACAGAATGTCATTTATTTTCGGTCTCGACAACAATTAAGACACAAACTCACATTCAAATGACTCTTAATAAAGTCTTGTGAGTTTGCAATATTCATTCACTTTTTTGTGTCACAATATTACTATATTTAACTAGAAAAAATGTTAAACTCAATTTTCTCGACTTTTACACTTTACTGCCATTTACCTGAGTTCGGCAGTGTAGTGTCTAGGGTTTACCAAAAAAATAAAATAATTAAATGCACACATTTTGAGCATAAACGATGTTTTAGTCATAGCAACTTACCACGAATACCCGTTCATTAACGCACATTCCCGCCGACATTTTGTAAACTTTCAACTGCGGTTTGCTACTTTTCAACGAGAAGGATCCTTACACAAAACCCTTGCGGAAATGTGTGGAGTATGCGTATACTTTCACAACAACGGTCGCGGTTTTCTGGGAAGAATGCGAATGCTAAGTCGGGAATGCTTTGCTTATATGTACGGCGTCGTGACGTCATCACATACTCCGTTTCCCGTGGGACGCCTTGCCGCGCCACGGCCGGCGAATAGTAGGCGGTGGTAATTTTTTGCCGCCCAACGCCGCGATTCATAAACAATGCGGAAAAAGCTGAATGAACTGCTCAATAATAAAGAGTCGGTGGCCAACAGTGAAACACGTGCGTCATGCGTGTTGGAACTATACCTATAGCCTTTCAGACTAGAAATAGTTTGGTTTCAGGAGAAGTTCTTATAATTGAAGAGCAATTACGTTCTATTAATTTTAATTATATCATGTAAAATGTTAATTATTTAGATGATAAAAAGGGCGATTATCTACATTGAGAAAAAAATAATTGACCCAATTAAGATTTTAATGAGGCCAATTAAAATGTAAGTCACTATGTGATAGCTAATAAGTCTAGTTAAACTCCGATTTCTAAAACAGTTTACTTGAATTTATGAAACTATTTTAATTAAAGCAAAACGCAATCGTTTATTTAAAAATATTAAACAGTTCACTTAGATTGATTACACCAATTTATTTAAAATTAATGAACTGATATAATGAGCTTACCTGCCCTAAAAGTAGGGGATGATGCTTGTATTTCACAAAAAAAATCCAGAACAACTATTTAATTGGTCACGTGTTCTCAATGTATGGTGTTTCATATACACTATATAACTTTTTGTTAATTACAGACCTCATCTGTTTGAATTCATTTTGAAGATCACAAATCAGATATATTGGCCAACCTGTAGATATTTTTGGAGGTTTAAATGATAATTCAACGATATCGTCCTATATTATTAGGCCTTGGTGAAAAATTTATAAGTTTTTTCACTTTCAGTATCAGGTATTTGTTTAGAGTCAAGTACTAAGTAAATAGAAGAAAGTAGCATAACGCATTCACGCCACAGTTCGGTATTAATACCTGATAGACACGCATACACTAGTTTTCACAAAATATTATTAATTTTGAATTACTGTTGGGTATTTTTTTATGATCAAAATTCAAGTAATAAAAATAGTACATTGCATACCTTGGTGGAGAAGTATGCCATTATTGGTCGAGCATAGCGCTGAGGAATATAATGTGTGAGGACAAATAATGGCCTTGTCTATCGAGGTATATAGAATGTTTCCCTACTATGAAATATTAAATTTTTCTGAACGTTCGACAACGCTGTTCGAATAGAGCACACGCATTCTATGCATCACAGAACGGTGCATAGGAGAGGAACACTGCTGCTACATCTTGGAGTCCGTTCACGATAGAAGATGATACGCACGTGGACTTACTTATTTTTAAATACTCGGAATTTTAAGCTGTCAAAATAGTGGGGCAATTACAATTAAGAGTAATAATTTCAGTTGTAAAATATATTATGTAAACAGTAATTATTGATAATATTGAAAAATAGATAAAGGGCTAAATGGCAGTAACAATTCTGGGCCCAACAATCCAACGTGGATGCACACATTCATTATATACCTAGGAATGTTTTCATTATCATTTACCTAGAGAGAAAAATCTATATTTTCCTTAGAGGAATGCGGTAAATAATGGAGATTTTTCACGTTAGTAGTGAAGAAACTCATGTTTTGTGTTAGATGAAATCCTCGGTGATTTCAATGCCTATAATGAGCTTTGGTCGGGCTCAAACAAGACCCATGCAGCAGGTCGTGCAGTTGAAGCGTTCGCTTTTACTCAAGTTCTGACCCAGCTGGTGACGAGCTGTACTTTTTCCCCCGCGTCTCGTCACATGCCAGTAGCCTGCTGGATCTCTTTCTAACCACGCATCCTGTCCCTTAAAGCACGGTGGTCCTGTCCCCCTGGATAACTCATACCACGGTGTTGTGCAGGTTAGGTTTCGGTCAGAGCCCGGTGTGGCAGCAGAAACTCGCACAGGCGCCACAAACCAGCACGTTATAAAAGTTAGGCACAGGGTAATGTCTCAGCGCCGTGGCAGTTGGTCTTTCTGTACGCTGGCCATGCAGATTGAAAAGAACTTCTCACACAGTAGCCTTCCACCACTTACGTGTCAGGATGGAACGATTGTACCCGACTCAAAGGCCAAGGCGGGAGTGCTTGAAAAGATCTTTGCTGCCAACACCACCATGGACGTCCCCCCCTCCAACGCCCAAGTGCGGTCAATTCAAAGGGTTCCCTACACTATGCCGGAGGTAACATTCAGGCATAAGACCGTAAGACGAGTGCTCTTGTTGCTCGACATCAACAAAGCTTCTGGTCCGTGCTTGATTCCTGCCATTCTGCTGAAGAGGTGTGCAGCGGAGCTTGCTCCAGTTCTTTCGCGTCTCTTCCAGATATCTTACGAATCCGGCACCTTCCCAGAAAACTGGAAATTTGCGTATGTCCAACCCATCCCAAAAAAGGGATCTAAGACCGACCCTTTCAACTACAGGCCTATAGCTTTGCTTTCTGTTATAAGTAAGGTGATGGAGAGGTGCATAAATCGCGAGCTTCTGGACTACCTCGAACGTCACAGCTTGATTAGTGACAGGCAGTATGGTTTCCGCCACCAGCGATCCACAGGGGACCTTCTAGCTTACGTCACGCAATTGTGGAGTAAACTCATCCAGTGTTATGGTGAGGCTCATGTCGTTGCTCTTGACATCACGAAAGCATTCGATCAGCTGATGCAGGTTGCCCTCTTAAGCAAACTTCCATCTTATGGCCTACCCGACTACATTATTTATGCTCGATGCTGTCCAGAGGAGGGCTGTCCGACAGACCGATGACTCTTCTCTAACAAACAGTCTCGGCGGGCCGTCGGCAATCTAGCGCTCTTCTACCGTTGGGATCATCATAGCAGCCGCGGTGCCCCGGCAAGCTTCTTCCTGCGCGGCTGCTTCGGTAAAAAGAGCTTCAGACAATACTTTTAAATTGAATCACCAACTGCTTCTTGCTAAATTGGAGTATATAGGTTTTGATAATACATCTATACCGTTCTTTACTGGATATTTGCCTAATCGTTTCCAATGTGTTGTAATTAATAATTATTTTTCTAACTCTACTAACATCATGTCTGGTATTCTACAAGGGTCTGTTCTGGGACCCTTGTTATTTCTAATATACAGGGAAAACCAAATTTTGCGACAGCGAGCGGTAGGGAAATGTAACAAATACCAAGCAATAGAAATTATCACTGCCTGCGTGTGCGCAGGTGAAAACCATATCGAAGCAGGACCGACACTCCCCAATGAGCGCTAGATGTGTTCTGACCAAAATCGCTTATCTATGATTATGGATGTGGAAAGCAGTATTTTTAGTATTTTTGTAAATGTATCACGTCATCATGTCGTAATTTTCTTCATTGCTGAAATGACCGCCTGGCATCTTTGACGATAATAAAGCAATATTAACAATACACAATAATAATATTGGGTCAACAAGCATTTGCTTGCAACGCCTACTTAAAAAGAAATAAAAATCAGAAAAAGCACAGTTTGCCTTATAACCAAGAGAATAGATGTACATGTGATCCATCGTTGAATTCGTATAAAAAATGGTATTAGATACAGGGTGTAACTTTTTAGGGACTTATAAAAAAAGTTGATGATGTTTTCTCAAAAACGAAACGTCGGACAAAAAATTTAAAAACCCCATCATGTAGTGCCTAAGAAGTGCCAATAGAAAAGTTTCACTAGGTGTTTGATATTTCTTAAAATAAAGTCAGAAAAAAATAAAAATGATATGGCCAAATTTTAGTTTTTCCCAAATGTCTCAGTAAGCCTTGAAATTTTTCTTATCGGTATGTAAATACGTCTCAAAGAACTCAACTTTTTCATAGTTTGCCCTAAGCTGTATCTCCCACAGGTATTGAGATCCCCATGAACCTTATCTTGCGTATATTGCCGATTTGTCTTCTATACTAGCTAACTCTACAATACAGTCATTCGCAGGCGATAAGCAGCTGTTTTACCATTTCGATCCGCATGACCATCAAGCATCCGTCGAACTGCAAGATGATATTGATGCAGTTTATAACTATTGTGTAAAACAAATTAAATTCCTCAAAATCCAAAATCATTTTATTCTGTTCTAATACTAAACGTGAGCGCATCCTTCAAACGTCTTATCACACACTCTTATCACTTGGTGTCATTTTAGATACTACTCAATATTGAAGAGTCTAGTACAGTACAAACATCCTATTTGAAATTACTTGTTGTATATGCGTGTGGTGCAGTCGGTATTGCGAAGAAAAACTAGCTGAATCCCTCGTTCTATCAATTATTAATTATTGTAATATTCTTTACCAGCCTTGCTTGGATCAGCTTACTAAAAGGCGTTTGCAAGTGGTGTAAAACAGCTGTCAGATTCACGTGTGGTTTAAGCAAATACGACTATATTAGCCATGCTTACAACAAAGACTCTTGTGTGGATGAAGCTCGAGTCTTTGACTACTTTCCATTATTTGGTCTATATCAATTAACTGCTCCCAACTGCTAAACCCAAGTATCTAAGAGAAAAACTTGTGTTTTCTAGTGAAGTAAACAACAAAACCCTTAGACACATTGAATCTTAGAATACCCCATTTTCCGACGCTCATTTTCTACAATGGTAGCCCTGTGGACAGTGTTGACTATAAAGCCATGAATCTGTCTTGTTCCACTAAGCATGTTAAGTTATACTGGTACTTACAGAGCCGTTATAATTTTCCTTTTGTTTGTCCAGTTTTTGTTAATAATACATATTAAGTTAGTTTATGGGCATTTTGGCTGTGTGTTTGTAGGTATGTCAATGAATAGTTCGATATTTGATATGCCTAACTGGGTTGAATACTGACATTTCAATATAAAAACTTTATTGTTGTATATCTTTTCTACCATATTGATTTCGTCTTCTTATGGTTAAGCGTAAGAATAGTTTTAGCTAAACCTCGCCATAGTGAATCGCGCTTTGTTAAGAAATACGATATTAATATTATTAAATTGTCTGTTATATTTTAATTGATTATGCATTAGCTAAAATACAGGGTAATTCATAAGTCGTGACCAAAAATGAAACATAATGCACAGGACCACATTTTGAGAGGGTCTTCTCTTTTCCTCGAGGGGTTCATTAAAAAGATACAGGGTCTTGA